TTATGTGCCGTGGAGTTGGTTGCGACTCATAGCGACCCTGTACAGCGTTTCCGAGGCTTTTTAAATCTTTACGGGAGCAGAATGCCTCATCTTTCTCCCACGGAACAACTGGTAGTTTCGAACTGCTGACCTTGTGGTTCGCAGCCTGATTCATAACCACTACGCTACCAGAGCTCTATGTATATATTAAATTATTTCTTCATCCTTTCCTATTTAAACAGGTTTTTATTTAAAATACAAAGAAGTTCAAATAATTTGTCTTTCATAATGGCATTGTTGCAATGATAATAGATTTGTACCTTTCTAATATAATTTCTTAATTTATTTTTTTCTCTAGATGGATACCCTAAAAATGAAATTGAATATAAATGGAAAAAGCCTTCTGTAGAAGTGGCAGATCCTAAATACTGGAGATTGTACCAGTTTGCATTTGTAGGGTTACGAAACTCAACGGAAATCTCTCATACAATCTCTGGTAAGAAAGATTTATGTCTATTGATTAGATTCTATAATTTTATACATTTCAGAATCAAAATATAATATATTACATTTTTTTTGTAGGTGATTATGTTATCATGACAATTTTTTTTGACTTGAGCAGACGGATGGGATATTTTACTATTCAGACCTACATTCCCTGTATTCTTACAGTTGTTCTTTCTTGGGTGTCTTTTTGGATCAATAAAGATGCAGTACCAGCAAGAACATCACTGGGTATGACATATGATATTATGCTATAGTATTATAAGCTCTTAAAAGCGTTTTATTGTGATACAAATTTATAGTTGAATACATTAGAAATATTTCAGAAGACTATAATAAACCAAAACATGATGGCAACCCTAATGTAATACCATATTGAAAGGGATATATAAAAAACAAAACAAATAGGAAATAGAATTACAAAGAATTTAAAAATCTAGAATGTTATTTTTAGAATAGAGGTCAAGGGAAACATTGATGTAGAGCAAGAATTAATCCATTAAACTCACACATAATTCCTGCATTTTATTTAGATAAATATTTTCACTCACTTAAAAAAAAAAAATCCAAATCACTATGAAGCAGCATTTGTTGACTCACATCATATATGATAAATACTGGACTGTAAACCACAAGGGCTTCAGTCAGAGCCTGCCAGCCTTTCAGTGGGATAAAGATGAGGCTTTCAATTCTTGGGATGATTGAAAACCTCAGAAACTTTATACAGGTTTGTTATGAGTTGGAATCAATTGACAGCACTTAACAACAATGTTTTGGACTCCTGATGTGGTACTCTAGGATAATTACTAGACTGCTACCACAAGGTTGGGAGTTCAGTCCCACCAGCTGCTCCTTGGAAATCTGAGTCACTATGAGTCAAAACTAACTGAACTGCACTTAACAACATGTATTTAAAATTCCTTGCTCTTATAATTGTGCTAACTAGTCATCAAATGTTCTCAAGAGTAGGTAGCTGAGAAAATCAGAAGCTTGTGGATTTCTGTAATCTATAAAATGTACAATTTTTCTGTGGCTATTTGATAGTTCCATGTAGAATAACAGTGAGTTTAAAAGAAATTTATGATTCATACTTGATGAAATAGGCTTTTGTTGACATTTTTAATGATCTCTCTCAATATATGAAATGCTATAGGAAATGAGGCTAATTATGACACATTTGTTTAAAGAAAAGTGACAAAATATATCAATATTATTGATAGGCAGATAAAATGTTTTATCAATTCATAAGACCTATGTAAGACCAGAATCACAGTACTAGCAATTGTGTCTTAAAAAACATAGAGTTGAGACTGTTTCTTTTTTCAATCATAAGGAGGTTTTCTAAGATAGCTGATGAATAACTCCATTTAAAAAATACAATAAAATGCAAATCACATAGAAATGTCAAAGATAAAGCCAGAGGCAGAAGCGCCTAGCTCTATATTTAGAAACACAATTCACTTGGGAGGCTAAATCAAGAGCAAGATTTAGCTGGTGGACAAAATCTACTCATACTTGTTTTGATTTTCTACAATTAGTTGAAATTATATTTGGTTCCAAAGTGTAAAATTTTTTTAGGTTCTTTGTACACTACTATAAGTATGAAGCAAACATTGACTTTAATTTTTAACTGTATTTGCTTCTATGCTCTCTGATTGATTTATTCATTTTTTATGTAAACAAAACCACTCAGTAATATAGTTATTTAAACAACGAAAGGCCACATTCTGTAAGCCTGCCTCCTGGCTGCCAGCACATAGCCTTTCTCTTTCTGTGAGTCCACAGCCCTCAACTGGTTTATCTCTCGATGACATGACCTCTGCTTCTATCGCTGGTGTTGCAGCTTCTTTGGTTAGGGTCCCACATTCTGCTCATGCTTTCTCTATTGATGGTCCTAAGGTCCCCTGTTCCTGGAATGTAAGATTAAGTACTCCCCCTTTTATATTACAAAACTTTTATCTTTACAGTTTTGACAATTGAAATTAGTCATGTTAACAATTACTCACTATAGAATCAAAAGAATCCTATCCCCGTTTCCTTTCACCACACCCAACTAGACAAGATGAAAACTATTCAGTGGGGATTCTACCTTCCCCTGTACATTCTGAAGTTAATGCCCTCTTAAAAACTTGTAAGCCAGCCACTTTATCCCTTTTTGTTTTTGTTGTTATTTGCCATCAAGTAGGTAACAACTCATAAAGACCCTATGCACAACAAAACAAAACACTACCTGGTCCAGGGCCAACCTCACAATTGTTGCCAAGCTTGAGCCCATTGATACTACCACTTTGCCAATTTATCTCGCTGGGGGTCTTCCTCTTTTTGTCTGACCCTCCACCTTACCAAAAATGATATCCCTTTCTAGTGATTGCTCACTCCTGACAGTGTGTCCTAAGTATGAGAGAAGTCTGGCCATCCTGGCGTTCAAGGAGCACTCTGACTGTACTTCTTCCAACACAGATCTCTTTGTTCTTTTGGCAGCCCATGGTGCTTTCAATATTCTCCTCTAACACCATAACTCAAATGTACCAATTCTTCTACAGTCTTCCTTATTCACTGTCCAACTTTTAAATGCATATTAAGTTATTGAAAATACCGTGGCTTGGGTCAGGCGCACCTGAGTCCTAAAGCTGACATCTTAGCTCTTCAACGCTTTAAAAAAGACTTGTGCAGCAGATTTGCCTAATGTAATAGGTTCTTTAATTTCTTGGCTGCTGCTTCCATGAGTGTTGGTGGTGGATGATCCAAGAAAACTGAAGTCTTTGACAACGTCAGTCTTTTCTCCATGTTAAGAATGATGTTTATTGATCCAGTGATGAGGATTTTGTTTTCTTTACATTGAGATGCAATCCATACTGAAGGCTATGGTCTTTGATCTTCATCAGTAAGTTTTTTAATTCCTCTTCACTTTCAGCAAGCAAGGTTGTATCATCTGAATATCACAGGTTGTTAATGAGTCTTTTTCCCATCCCGATGCCACATTTTTCTTCATATAGCCCAGCTTCTCGCTTTATTTGCTCAGCACACATGCTGAGTGAGAATGGTGAAAGACTACAACCCTGCCGCACACCTTTCCTAATTTTAAACCATTCAGTATTCCCATGTTCTGTTTGAGCAACTGCTTTTTAGTCTGTGTGCAGGTTCATTATGAGCACAGTTAATTGTTTGGGAATACTCATACTTGCACAGCTTGTCAGGATCCACACAATCAAAGGGCTTTACATAGTCAATAAAACACAGGCAAATATCTCTGGTATTCTCTGCTTTCAGCCATGATCCATTAGACAGCAGCAATGATATCCCTCATTCCACATCCTCTCCTGAATCTGGCTTGAACCTCCAGAAGTTCTCTGTCAATGTATGCTTGCAGCTATTTCTGTATTATCTTTAGTAAAACTTTACTCACGTGGGATATCAATGATATTGTCTGATGATTTCCGCATTCTCTTGGGGCACCTCTCAATGCACAAAAATACAATCTCTTCCAATCAGATAGTTGTATTCCAAATTTCTTGGCATAGATGAGTGAGTGCCTCCTGTGCCGCCTCACTTTCTTGAAAGATTTCAATTTTTATTCCATTAATTCCTCATGCCTTGTTCTTTGCCAATTCCTTCAATGCACCTTGGACTTCCTATTTCACTATAATTGACTCTTGATCGTATGCTACCTCTTGAAATGCTTGAACATCAACCATTTCCTTTTAGTACAGTGACTGTGTATTCCTTCAATCTTCTTTTGATGCTTTCTGCATCATTCAATAATTTTCCCAGAGAATCGTTCATCAATGAAAGTCAAGGCTTGAATTTTTTCTTCAGTTCCCTTATCTTGAGAAATGCTGAGCGTGTTCTTCCTGTTTAGTTTTCTAACTTCAGATCTTAGCACATTCCATTGTAATATTTGACTTTGTCTTCTCAAGCTGACCTATGAAATTTTCTGTTCCACTCTTGTATGTCCTTATTTTTTCCATTTGCTTTAGCATCTCTACACTGGAGAGCAAGTTTCAGTGTCTCTTCTGATATCCATTTTGATCTTTTCCTTCTTTCTTGTCTTCTTAATGACTTTATCTGTCTTCCTGTATGATGTTCTTGATATCATCCCACAACTCCTCTGGTCTTCTGTTTTTAGTGTTTAATGTATCAAATCTGTTCTTCAGATGACCTTTAAATTCAGGTGGGACATATACATGGTCTTATTTTGGCTCTCATGGACTTGTTTTCATTTTCTTCAACTTTATTCTGAATTTTCATATGATCAATTGATGGTCTGTTCTGCAATCTGCCCTGGTCTTGTTTTGGCTGGTGATATGGAAAATTTCCACCGTCTCTTTCCACAGATGTAGTCACTTTGATTTCTGTTTATTCCACCTGGTGAGGTCCATGTGTATAGTTATCTTATGCTGTTTTACAAAAAGGTATTTGAAATGAACAAATCATTGGTTTTACAGAATTCTATCACGTAATCTCCAGCATCGTTTCTATTAACAGGCCATATTTTCCAACTGCTGATCTTTCCTCTTTGTTTCCAACCTTTGCATTCCAATCATCATTAATTATCAATATATCTTAATTGCATGTTTGATCAATTTCAGATTGAAGAAGTTGGTATAATTCTTCTAGTTCATCCTCAATGACTTCAATTGTTGATACATAAATTTGATAATAGTGGTATTAACTGGTCTTCCCTTTAGGTGCATTTATGGATATTATTCTATCACAGACAGCATTGCACTTCATGACAGATCTTGATAAGTTCTTTTTGACAATGAATGTAACACCATTCCTCTTCAATTTGGCATTCCTTGCATAGTAAACCACGTGGTTGTCAGATTCAAAATGGCCAATGCCAGTCCATTTCAGCTCATGAATGCCTAAGATATCAGTGTTTATATGTTCCATTTCATTTTTGACAGTCTCCAATTTTTCTAGATTCATACTTCATACATACCATGTTTCTATTATTAATGGATGTTCACTGCTATTTCTCTTCCTTTGAGTTGTGCCCCATCATCAAATGAAAGTCCTGAGGGCTTTACTCCCTTGGGCTTTACTCCATTCATGTCATCACCGTCAACTTTACTTTTAGAAGGCAGCTCTTCCCCAGTCGAATTTTGAGTGCCTTTTAACCTGAGGAGCTCATTTTCCGGCACTATATCTGACCGTATTTCTCTGCTATTCATAAGGTTTTCAGTGAGTAAATATTCAGAAATAGTGTGTCTTTCCTTTCTAGTCTGTGGTTGTCTA